CCCCAAGGGTTTGTGTGCTAGAAGCTCGGTCCCCAGGGTGGTGGTGCTGAGGTGGTGAACCCTTAAGAGGGCACCGAGCACACCCCCTGAAGGGATTAATGTTCTTGTAGAACCCTGGTGAGTTCCCAGGAGGCAGGCTCCTGAACTTCCCTCGCTGCTGCCTCACCCCCTGCATGCGATTGGCCCCCTTTCCATTTCTCTGCCATGTGGTGGTGATCCAGACAAGGGGGTCCTTGCTAGGCCACCAGTGCCGTGACACTTGACCCTCCAGCCTCCAGAACCATGAGCCAAGTAAAACTCTTTATTAAGTCCCTACCTCAGGCATTTGGTTATAGCAACAGAAAACGGCCTAAGGCAGCACCCATGTGTGGAGCTGAAAGGTCTGTGGGGCACCAGATAAGGAACAGAATATCGGGGCTTCACGTGCGGGGTGGCAACCCCCTTGTGTAGGACCATGGAATCACTTAGAGAGGTGTGATGATCAATGCCCAAAGCACAGGGTTGAAGACACGTGGCCCTGGGTTTGAATACTACGCCACTGAACCCTGGGAGTCTCCTGCTTTATTTTCCAATAGGAGTGCGGCACCACCCCATCGCAAGGCATCCCTCTCCAGGGAATTCACAGAAAAATGGAATGAAGAAAAGCTTCCATTCATCCACCCACCAGGATCGGGGTCCACGATGCTCTCTACCGTGGCCGGGTAGACGGCTGGCATCCACGTCTCCACCCTTTGATGCACATGAGCCGGGCCTCCCACGTGCTGGGGAGCCCAGCCCAGCCTGCCCCTACAGTCTTTTGTTAACGACCCATGAACAAACCATACACAGAAAGACTTTTTTCTTTCTTTCTTCAATTTAATTGAAGTTACTTAGAAAAATAATCAGGCTTGAATGGCTTTTCCTGGAGGAAGGTTCATGAACATTTCACGCTTTTGTTGGCAATGTGGAATTCAGCTTTCTTTAACAGTACAGGAAGACACAGGGAGCGTTTTCTACAACAGGCCCTCTACTGCATACAGGTATGTAAAAGGAAAAAATCACACCCCACCAAGATGTTAAATTATGTGTCCATATGCCACACTGAGCATGCTCATAAAAAAATACAGGCAGCCCCTTCTGTACCTAACAAAGAATAGAGACTGAAATCCGCCTGTTCACAGCCAAGGGTCAAGCTGGTCCTGTTGGTTGTGCTGGGAAAGGCTGGGGGGTCTCTGGTGGTGGGGTTCAGGGAAGCAGTGTGGTCAGTCCTGCTGACATAAAGGTGGGGGAGGATGGGACCTGGTCACCAGGATTGCACAGGGCAGGGCAGGACAGCTCAGCTCAGCGTGTGTGTGTGTGTGTGTGTGTGTGCGCTCATGCACACACGCAGGGAAGAACTGTCTAAGAAAGTTAGCCGAGACCCTCTGCTTTTTGCCAGGTTAGAAGAGGGACTTTTATAATCGTGGTCCCTTGCACTCTAAGTGTGCTAGGGCCTTACACTCTTTTTCTCGAGTTTTCTATAGCGTGGATTATACCACGTGCTTGCTCGCCTGTTTCTGGGAGGCCTGGTTCTGCTAAAGTTCCCACTGCCCTGAACCAGCAGGAGGGGAGGCGAGGCTCACCCACTGGGCAGGGAGGGGGCGGTCTCCTCTAAGACAGTCCAGTTGTTGGGCTGCCCTTCTTCCCAGACCAGCTGGGGAGGGCAGTGGGGGGTCTGGAGAGGCTGCAGGCACCAAACCCACGGCGGACAAAATCTCAAGTTCTCCAAGCAAAGGGACAGGTAAGCAGGAAGGTCCTCGTAAATACAGCCTTGATGACACCTTGGTCTTAAAGCACAGCAGCCCCTTTGAAGAGTGGCCTGGAGCTGGGGACACCGCCCCGCGCTTTTCTCCAGCTATGCATGCAATAGGAAGCATCTTAAAACATTTTTTTTTGTCTTTAGGAAACACTGACTTTTGTTTCCCAGGTGCACTTCACCCATGGATTTCTTTAGCCAAGGACACAGAATACGTTCTACATTCTGCAAAATGGTTGCATCAATTTTTGTTAAAAAAAATTTGATGTCATTAGAAAACAAAACGTGAACACAAAACAGAACGCAGAGAAAGAATTTCTCATTTCAGACATGACGCCTCGTCCCCTGAAGGACAATCTATCTCACTTAAGAGACAAAAGCCAATGAAAGGCCATCTGCACACGGCACTGGGCAAGCTTGCACAGGAAGGAGACAGAGGGTGCCAACACGGAAACCAGTGTGGATTTCCATGAAAACCAGGGAAAAAAGCACACAGTGAACAGTTGCAGGCTGTGGACTTGCAGAAGCCTCCGCCAGGGTCGTCTGTTCCCATGGAGAGACTGGAGGCAGGGCAGCGGGGCCCTCAGTGGCCTTATGCACTCTGCCCCACTCCTGCCCTTCCGTCCACACCACCCAAGACTTCCCTCCACTCTGGGGGTGGTGCTAGCTGTCCGTGGGGGTGTCCAGGATTAGACGCCTTGCACTGAAGTCAACATTTAATCCTCTGAGGCTGGAAACCAGATGGAGACTGGCGCCATTTTGGTTTTGCTTGTTTTTGGAGGGGGGGCAAAAGCAAAAACAAGGATCCAAGGGGGTTGATCCTTGCAGACCCTGGAGGGGCTGCCTCACCCTAACCGAAGCACCCTCTGCGGGACATCAGCTCTGGGAGTTAACATGCAAAATAGAGCCTCCTGGTCATGCCAAGTGCAGGAAATGCCCCGACTCCCAGATGGCCTTGGGGTTCACCATGCACTACACGCCTTCTCCACTCAGAAAAGAGACTCGCTCAACTTGGTTTCCCAAGGACATCTGACCACCAACCTCATCTGCATCACACCAACTCAATGTCCCAGAGAGCCCCTGTCGTGTAGAGCACGGGTTAGGACATGCAGCACGACCTGCTTCAACAGAAGCCCTATCTCTTGAGGACACTGTCTCTCACCTGAAATAAGGTCCAGACTCTCAATTGCAGGGACAGCCAGGGTCTGTCACTCTACTTGCTCAAACACACTGCATAGATCTCTGTCCACGAAGGGCAAAGTTGCTGTGCCCTCTCTCCAAAGAGGAGAGAGCCCAGAAGACACGCGATGTTTTATGAATACCTCAGCCACCTCCCTGGCACACCTCTCCCTCAAGTTAAATGAAATAATCTCCTCGTTGAGATGCTGCAGCTGCTGGTCACGGAGCTTGCTGTGAGCTTCACAACACAACTTTAATAGTTTCTGAGATAAATTATTCATTTCTGTTTAAAATATTCTCACCCTTCACTCTATATCGCGTCAAAAACAAAAAGCAAAACTTACCCACACCCCATCCCACCCTCCCCTATTATTAGAACTATTATTATTATTTTTATTATTATTATTATTATATACAGTATCTGCTACCGACTCATTCACTAGCTGTAAGAGGGATGTGGCTCAAACTTCAACCGAGAAAGCGCTGGAAATGGCTGGAATTGAGAAGCAGGTTTGGATGTTAATCAGCAAGGAACAGGAGTGGCCAGTGGCAGCCTTCCAGAGGAAAGGAGTGTGGAAGAAGAGGGCAGGAGGCTGTCCTTGCCGCCCATGCTTGGCAGTCACGAAGGTTCGGAGGGTCTCTTAGCCTCTGCAGGATGGGGAAGGTGGGCGGGTAAGCACGTGCCCACACAGCCCACCTCTGATCTTTACAAGGGGCATAAATGCAGCCTGTTGCAACTCCCCAAGTGTGTACCTGGGAAGCGTAGAAGACACCTCCACCCGGGGATGCGGATGTTGACTGGACATGGCGGGAGGAGGCACTTGAGGACCTTCTCCTCTCCTTACCCAACCAGACCTCGGTCACAGCACTCTTCCACGCTGTGCCTGGAGAGTCCCTTCCGGGGCTTCAGGGCACAAAATAGGAAATATTTTTGCTATTTCTTGGGTAATGACCTTAGATTACTCACTGAGTAGCCTGATCCAAGTGTGTGGTTTTCAAATTTGGGCCAGAGAAAAATGCAAATATGTAGGGCTCACGGGCCTTCTAGAGTTACAGAGTCCAAACCCCACTTGAAGTCCGTAAAGATCAGGGGCCTGGTTAATGTCGAGCTGGATGCTCTGTGTCCACGTAAAGCTTCTTGAGGGCTAAGTCTACTGGGTTTGTTCAATGCTCTGTCTGCAGGGCCTATACCTGAACCTAGAATATAGTAGATGCTCAATAAATACTTGTTGGCCATAAAGCAACAGCTGCTTCACCTTCACCACAACCGGCACTGCCAGTTAAAATTTTCTGTTTAAAAAAAGCCTATTCTATCAGGCTGCTAATTTTGGTGAAAAAAAAATTGCTACAATCAGCTCTCTCCTTGGGTTTAAAAAAAAAAAAGTCACATTTCTTTATGGCAAGGGACTTTGGGGTCAATTGCATTGGGTTTGGGATTAGCCCCTTGGGAAGATGCCTCTGAGTGCAATAGTGACCTATTTGTCTCCAGCAGAACTTCAAGAACAGTGGCATCCACACGCATCACAAGGATTGTCACCAGACGACCCCATGAGAGGTTAGTAGGGAGAACATCGTGCCCCCCAATGAGCTGTAGCGAGCAAAGCTGGAACCATAGATTTCTTCAGGGGACCTCGGCGTTCTGCTGCCAAAAAGAAATCTATACGGAGACTGTGTTTAAATAACTATAAATAACATTAATCAGAACTCGTGGAATGCACAAGTCACCATGGAATTCACCAGGACACAAGGAAACCTCTGAGACAGTGTTGCAGTATTCACTTCTGAAAACAAGGACAATCCACCCTCTTCCCCTGCTGAAGACGGCGGTCCCTCCCTTCGAAGGACTTTAAATAATTCTCACCATGCTGCTCGCAGCACGTTCCCCAGAGCAATATTAATTTACAAAATAACCCAATATCCATAGAATTCTTTTGACAAATAAAAATCTTAAATTAAAAAGCATGACTCTCTCCCTCTGCCCGCTCCCCTCCCCGGTGCCCACCCCACCCCACCCCACCCCCACCGCAGCCCCCACCCCCACCGCCCCTCATTCCAATTTCAGGTAGCTTGGCACTGAGTAATTGAACATTAAAAAGTCGAGTTTGTAGACTTCGTAGAGCTGCGTCTGGTGCTCGGAGCTGATGTTCTGGAAGAACTCGGTGGTCATCTCGTCCGTAGTTCGGGTGGACTTGGCGTAGGCGGGGAACTTGAGCGAGCCGCCGACGCCCGCCAGCTGCAGCACGTAGTTGGAGTCCTCCTCCAGGGTCTCGTACTTGCCCACGAGGTCGTAGCGGATGTGGCACGGGTGGCACAGCGAGTGCACCGTCTGCCAGTGCTCGTTGAAGGGCTCCTCGCGCTGCGTGTGCGGGTCGATGAGGTAGGCGACGAACTCCTCGAAGCGCACGTCGTGGCCGCGGCGCAGCGCCTCCTGCGTGGCGTTCCTGCGCTGGCGCCGGATGATCTTGGTGCCGTAGCGCTTGTGGAAGGACGTGTTGTACTTCTGCGTGAACTTGTTGCGGTAGGCGGACACCAGCCTCTCGAAGGGCTCGCGCACGAACAGGAACTTGAGGTAGCTCTTGAGGCGGTGGTTGATCTCGGGGATGCTGTACTGGTTGAGCGTCTTGAGGTTGGCCGCCACGTGCGCCTCGCTGGCCGGGATCTCCATGGGGTCGCTGTACTTGCCGCGGCCCGTCAGGACCATCATGAGCCGCTTCCAGTTGGTGCACGCCACCTTGGGCACGTAGCAGTAGATGAGCTCGTGGTCCTCGTCCACCACCAGGTGCTTCAGGTCGCTGGGGGTCAGCACCCGCCGCTTGCGGCTCAGGGCGCTGTGGGCTCGGCACGTGTCGGTCACCTGGTCCCGCCTCATCTGGTGCAGGACGGCCGTGTTGGAGAGTTCCAGCTGCAGAGGGGACACAAGAGGGGGGACACAGGTCAGGGGGCGTCTGGAACTTTTCCACTTGGCCACGTCCAGACACGCAGCTAGACCTCCCCGGGTGCGGGAAGGGCGTGGGGAGGCCCAACCTGTGTGGTCACAGTCTAGGCAAAGAGCTACGAGTCTCGATAGAGGGACATGTCTGTGCTTGGGACACGTCTGTGCTCCTCTAAATTTCAGGAACAAAGGTTTCTCCCCAAGGACTGTCCAGTCTGTGCCAGTTCTCTGGACTCGGAAACAGGAGACCACCATGCCCTGTGCTCTGCCATCCTGGTCACCAGTACCCAGGGATTCAGGGACCCGCTCGGAAGGATGACACCCTGTTGTAGGCTCGGAGCCATGACACCTCCCCTGCTCTCCAGAGTGTGGGCTAGTCCCTTCCTTTAAACAGAAAAGGAGTTGTTAGTTGTGCTTCAAGTTAGGGACAACACCAGGCTGTGGAATGGCTGCAGGAGCTGCAGGTGACATGGTGTCCTGATTTCTTCCTTGTCCCAAGAAGACTCCGCACCATACACGGGTCTGCTGACCTCCAAGCTGCTTTTCCAGCCTTATTCCTACCCCTGCCCTTCATCCCCGAAAGGCACTCCTGGGAAACCCGGGACCCACTTCCCCCTTTGTCCCAAGGATTCCCGGGCTGGTCCAGGGGGGTTAACAGGTGTGTATTCTTTTATGAAAGGAGAAAAAAGAAACCTAAGAGAGAAGGTCGGGAATCTCAAAGATCAATCTTGCCAGCTCTATAGTTTTGCCACAGGTCAGTCCCAGGTCACTGAATTCAATTAATATTTATTTTGAATAGAGAAACTCTGACCTTTGCAATTCCTGACTTGGAAGCAGATGTATCCATCACGGTAAGAGGAGCACTCATGGGCGACCTGGGCTGGTAAGCAATGCCATTAAGAAGAAAAAGGTCCTTCAAGGAAATGGAAAGAGCACGAGGAAAACAGGGCCCATCGATTTTGCCGTTTGAGTTGCTCAGGATAATTTTGAAGGCAATGAAATTCCTAAGATGAGCGGAAGAGTGAGGGGGTCCCCTCCCCCTTTTCTAGATCCCCAGGGAGGCTGTGCTTCAGCATCCTGGCCACAGAGGAGGGAACATGGACCCCAGACATTGGAGTCACTTTCCCTCCAATCCCTCCAATGGCAGAAGTGGAAAATAATTCAATGGGGCTTTGAAATGTGGCATTTGTGGGTTTTTTCTCTTCCACAGCAGAGAAGGAGGCGAGGAGACCAGCTGCCACAGCCAGGTCACATGACCTCCCTCAGGGCGCCTGGGGCCAGAGAGCTTCTCAAAGCTGAGCCACGTCCAGAGGAAACTCACCTGTGTTCAAGTCTTTAAAAACATGTTTTAATGCTTTTTAGTTTTCAAACAATTTCAGAATAGTGTTGACTGGATTGATTAAAAATACGTCATCACTAAACTATGCACAAATATAAGACCAGGTATCCAGCTCCAAGACCAAAACAAAAGCAGACACTCAGATGAATACCTCAGCACAGTGGGGGGTATTTTATGGGAACTGAGGTCCTGCGGGATCCTGTGGAGCTCTCTGGGGGCTCTGGGCAGGCCCTTCCGAAATCCCTGCTACTGTGCTGCGTGGCCACTAGGGTTCCGGCTTCTCATTCCCACTTACTCCAGCACTCCACAGCTGTGACTCCAGTTGCCTTTTTACTTGGTACAAGTGCACCGTCCACACATTTTGTTCTCCACCCACCTCGAATTAGCTAAAAACAATAAAATGGATCCACCTGGTGCCACCAAACACCATCGGTGAACACGTGTGCCAGGGCATCCCGTGGCAGGACTAGGGTGTCAGGGGGTGAGGCTGATAACCCAGAAATGCTTGAACTTTTTCAAAAGATTGTCATCAAAATAAAAAAACACAAAATTCATAAAATCTTAAACACAACTCCAGATCCCTAGAAATTCTGTGGATTCCTTGAAGCTTGGTTCAGGAATCCTGGATGAAGGGGAGCCCTGGACAGGTCACAGGGAAGACAGGACTCCTCTGCCATCACACCAAGATGGGCAGGACAATCTCCATGTTCCTTCGTGGATAACAACATGTTAGAATTTGTGATGAGGAAGACTGCAATGTCTGAGGCATGTTGCTTCCATGTCCCCTGTCTACAGACCCCTTTTATATACCTGTCAATCAAGGAGCCCACTGAGACATTCCCAGGGACCACAGAGCCTACAAAAGGGCCTTTCCTTCTTTCCACACCTACATCATTCTCTCCTGGGTCAATAATAACTATCGACTGGTTCTCAAGCTTTTGTGTGCATGGAAGTCACATAAAGCAGTTTGCTGGATTCCATTCCCAGAACTGATGAGTCAGCAGGTTGGGGACAGGACCTGAGAATCTGCATTTCCAGCAGGTTCCCAGCGTGTGAGTCTGCTAGGGCAGCTGGACCCCAGATTGGAGGGTTTAAACAACAGAAGGCATTTTCCCACAGTTTCAGAGGCTGAAGTCCAAGATCAAGGTGCTGGGGAGGGCTGGTGTTCCGGGGACTCCCTCCTTGGCTCAAGCACACCCTCCCTTGCCTCACATCCTTCCTGCCTCTTCACACACTCTCCCTTGATCAGGCCCCACCGGGGTCTCCTCTTTTTCTAAGGATTAGACTGCTGTCTGGACATTTTGTTTTTATACGATCACCTCTTCAAAGACACCATCTCCAACCACAGTCGCATTCTGAGGGACTTTGGGGTTGAGAATTTGACATGAACTTGGGGCAAGGGGACCCAGTTCAACCCCTAACCCCAGGTGGTGCTGGTGCTGATGGTCCGGTCACCACACTTTGAGAACCACACTTCTACTCTGTGGAAATGTCTGTAATCTACCATCTCTCTCCAGTTCACAGCTCTTGTTAATCACAGCGCTCAGCATCCAGGTTCACCATCTGCTGCTGGGAGGCTCCTAGACGTTCCCCAGCCCCAGTCTCCAGCTCCGTTCATGCCCCTCTGATCTCCCCGAAGTACCCATTAGGTCAGGGGAGGCTGATTCTCGGAAACCGTGGACATGGCTCCTGGCTCTGGGCTGTGTCCTGTGATCTCCTTGCAATGTCTATTTTTAATTTGGACATTTAAAAAAGGCAACTATAATTACTTTAAGTACCAAATATAGAGGTTGTTGGACAAAGCCTTTAAAATTTTACTACCGTTTCATCTTAAAAGGAAGAGGAGCTGGTTTCCCTTAAGTTAAAACATCTCCTGTGATGTCTGCAACCTCCCTCAGATGCGAGACCCACGCACAAGGAAGAACCATTGCTCATCTCAATGCTTGGGTAGGGGACATGCAGGGAAATGGAAATCCAGAGAAACAGGTAACTCTGGAAGCTTCCAGTGACTGGGACTGTCCGAATCTGCCTTTCACGAGTATTAGCTCAGGCGTAGCCTCAGCTTCTGTGTTTGAAAAAATCGGAATATTTCTGATGCATTCTTTTGTCTTTCATTGCAGAACTGGGGGAAGGGACAGAACCCGTTGAGCTGATTTGCTCGGAGTCTACTACATTTCCTTCTGGTCCAGCAATTCTTAAACTCAGGGAGAGGGCTGGTCACCAGGACTTACTGTGGAAACCACAGCTATAGCAAGAGAGGGGCACACCTTTCCACAGCTACCATTTTATTGAGCACCTACTATGTTCCAGCCATTGTTAATCCTCACACTCTGTGAGGCAGGTATCACTCGTATTCCCAACTTAGAGATCTGGAAACTGAGGCGGGCTGGGGGGCCTGCTGGGGATATAGCTCAGTTGGTAGAGTGCTTGCCTGGCACGCGCAAGGCCCTGGGTTCAATCCCCAACAAAACAAACAAACAAACAAACCAAAAAACTGAGGCTGGGGTTCTAATCTAGGCAGACTGCACTCAGAGATCCTGCCTGAGGAGGTCTCCAGACCCAGCTGGGAGTTCCCATCTCACTGGGCTGGGATTGCCTGAGGGCCACCGCCTGCAGCCTCTCCCAGTCACTCCAGGATGGGAAGGACTGCCCCTGCTGGAGCCCCGATGCCCCAAAGCCAGCTGCCCCTGCTCAGCTAAAGGACCCCAGAGCCAACTACAAAACAGCCAGGTGGAACCAGCTAGGCACTGGCCACCCCCAAATGCATCCAGAAAAACTCAGGGTCAGGGTGGCCATTAAGAGGAACCTCTGGTTGGCTGGGGAGGCCCACACCTGTTAATCCCTGTGACTTAGGAGGCTGAGGCAGGAGGACCACAAGTTCAAAGTCAGCCTCAGCAACTTATCGAGGCCCTAAGCAACTCAGAGACCCTGTGTCTAAATACAATATTTAAAAAGGGCTGGGGATGTGGCTCAGTGATTAAGCGCTCCTGGGTTCAATCTCTGGTACACCCCCCCCAAAAAAGAGAAACCTCTGGGGCCTCAGCTCTCCCCATCCCCTTCCCTGACCTCAGCACCCACCTGCTTCTGACCCACTTATCACAACTGACTTATTTTGCTGGCCTCTCCCTTCTGGATCTTGAAGAGGGCAGAGGGCAGATTTTTTTTTTTTTTTAATTGGTGGTGGTGGGAATGGAACCAGGGCCCCCTGTAGGCCAAGCACGTATCTACCACGGAGTCACACCCCGAGCTCTGGAGCAGACACTTTTCATTTTGGGGGCTCACTGTTGTATTCCCAGTGCCTGGCACGTAACAGACACTCTGAGATTCATCAAGGGAATGAAGGAAGGATCCAGTGCGGGGTGGCAGGCGTTGTGCAGGGTCCGCGGCTGTGAGGCTGCTGGCTCTGGTGCCTACCCCTGCCCCCTGCCCCCTGCCCTCTGCGGGCCTGGCACCCCGCCTGCAGCTGCGGCTTCAGGGCTCCGCACCAGCCCAGAGGTGGAGGCCGACGAGCAGCGGGGCTCCTGGGACTCCTCAGGGTTGTTAAGGCCAGCGCTGAGCCCCGGGTGACTGCGGCAGCCCTGGAGGAGGGGAGGACCCTGGCACTGCCCACCATCTGGGGAGGCCAGGAGGA